TCTTTTTTCTTTTTCCTTTTCGTTTTTTTCTTCTTCTTTCTTTATTCTTTTTTTTCTTTTCAAACTTAATTTTTTCTATTTCTTCTTTATTCCTAAACAACCAAGCACTTGATTCAATTTTTAAACTATTTATTTTTAAATTTTTAATTAATTATAATTTTTTTTTGCGAAAAAATTTAATTTATGTTATTTATTATTGATATTTTTAATTTATAATTTTACTAATTTTCTGTTTTATTAACTTTTTCATAATTTATTAATTTTTTATTCAATTTATATTTCTTGTTCATATATTTTAATTTTTAATTTTTACGTTTATTTAAAAACCTTAATTTTTTAACTTTGAAATGAACGAAATTTTTTGTATTAATAATATTTTCAATATTATTTTTTGGAAAAAGTTGCAATAACAATTAAAAAAATTGAGAAACTGTATAATTAATTTTTTGTTGTCAATTGACACGAAATTATTGTAATAAAATTTTAATTTGAAAAAAAAATAAATAAATTTCGTTCATTTGAAAGTTTATAACTAAGGAAATTTTTATTCGTATTTCTTTTAATTAATTTTTCGTTTATTCACTTTCGACTTTATTTATTTTTTAATTTACTTCCTCTCTGTTTGATTTATTTTTTCTTTCGTTTATTTTCTATTTTATTTATTCATTTTTCAATTTATTTCTTTTCTACATTTGATTTAATATTTCTTTCATTTATTTTCTATTTTATTTACTCATTTTAAAATTTATTTATTTTCTCTATTTTATTTATTGTTTCATTTCTTCATTTTCTATTTTTCTATTCATTTTTCAATTTACTTATTTTCCATATTTTAATTATTACTTCCTCAAAGAGAAAATATTTTTCATTTCACTTGTTTTCCATTTTATTCATTTGTCTACTTTATTAGTTGTTTATTCTTTATTTTGTTGTTTACTTTTCATCTTATTTGGTATTTTCTTCATTTTGTGTTTTAATTCTATTTAAGGAATTTACTCTCTTTATTCATACTTTTCTTTTATAGTTTTATCCTCTTTTGTGTATTTATTCGATTCCGTTTCTCTCCTTTTCTGTGTATTTTACACTTTTTCCTATTATTACATCTCCACTGGTTTATTTATTTTTATTTAAAATTCAATTTTATATCATGAATTTATCATGAAATTCAGAGAAATTAAATATAACCGGATAAAAATTCGACATAGTTGATGTTGAATCAATTTTGCAAAATTTTTTTAAAAAATTGCGTTGACAACAAATTTTTTAAAAAGTTATACCAAATATTTTCGAAAATCTATTTATTCTGGAAAATATTTTGCAAAAAGAATCATTTTAATAAATTGAATTTACGGAATTTCTTTAGTATAATTTATTTTCTATTTTGAAAAAATAATTAATTACTCTTTCCTCCCAACAATTTTTTGCAATAGGAAAAAGAATAAAAAATCGAAAACTAGTCAAATATATTTCAAATTGTCAAATTCGAACTTAATTGTCAATTTTCTGGAATAATTCTCAAAAGCAAAAATAGAATAAAAAATCGAAAACAGATTAATTCAAATCAAGATTAATTTAATCAAATATAATTTCTCATTTCTTTGTTTAAAAAAAATTTTTTTTTTTTGCAATTTGCAAAATTGGCATCAAATTGAAAATAGATATTAAGTGGCCCCCCTCGCCCTCGTCACAGGTTCAACTTTTGCTCGTCATTTATCAGTCCATTTGCCTATTTTTTTTTCTTTTTCATCTTCATGATCAAATTTTTTTATTTTTTAAAAATTTTTATTATTACCTTTTCGAATCGTTCTTCTTGTTTTTTTTGAAACATTCATTCAAAAATGTACAAATCTCAATCGCACAAATAACCAATATCTATATACTAACAAATTCCTCCTAATTGATGCAATGTACAAACAATTAATATCTTTTTTTTTTAATTCGCGGTGTAACTTTTTTTGCCTTTGGCATTAGCAATCTTTGACGTAGTTATTTATAATAATTACATGTATACTATATAGTCACGTATGGAATATGTATAGAGGTGTAGGTATTCACTTTTTTCCATACTTGGATTTTTTTTTCTCTACATTCGATCTATCACACACTTTCTCCTCTCTTGAGCTTCAATTTTTTTTATGCGAATCAGTTCAATCTGTTGAATTTTATTTTTCCCCTTGACATTATTTTTTTTTGTTTTGCTTTTTTTTGAAAAAAGAAAATTAAATTTAAAAATGAAATTCATAATAAAAATGGTGGAAATAATTTTATAAAAATTAATTAACTTGTTGTAATTGTTAATTAGAAATTAGAATAGGTATTCAATTATAATAAATAGAATAAATTTTCAATTATAATAATTAGAATAACTTTTCAATTATAAAAGTTAAAATAAATTTTCAATTATAAAAGTTAAAATAACTTTTCAATTATAACAATTAAAATAACTTTTTAATTAAAATAATTAGAATAACTTTTCAATTATAACAATTAAAATAACTGATAGATTTTTATTAAAGAATTAGTTAACAAAGTAAATTGATGTATAATTAAATTAAATTAACTTAAATGTAATTTAGTTTAGTTTAATTTAATTTAATTTAATTTATTTAAGTTTAGTATAGTTTAGTTTAGTTTAATTTGGTTTAGATTAGTTAAATTTAATTTAATTGAACTTAATTAAATTAATAATGAGGAAATATTTTAAGAGAAGAGATTCTTTTTTATATTGAATAGAAAATTACGAATCTTAATATCAATGTTTGTTGCTGAATATATTTTCGTTGTTGGGGGAAAAAAAGTATATGAGTATTTAAATTGAAGCCGCAAGTCTGGAACAATTATTTCTCTGGTTTTGCGCATTTGCATATGTTTACATACGAAATAACGTGTACCAGAAATTTCCAAGATTCAGAGTGAGCACTTACCTTATTAATCCTATTGTATACTGTGCATTATGATTTGTGTATAGCAAAACAATCTGTACACATTGTACACTTTGAGTCTCTTGTCTTAATATTATTATATATATATATATATATATTCTATATTTAATTACACTTGGAAAATAAATAGCATTCAATCAAGTAGAAAAAAAGACGTTTTTTATTTTTATAAAATATATTTTTCTATTAGAAATTTTTAATTATAGAAATAATAAGTTCTATTTGATTTATTGAATTATTTAAAAAAAATTAATTATAATTAACAATTTCTGTTAATTTCTTTATTTAAATTATTTATATTTTAATTATCGAAACTATTTCTTTGAATTCTTAAAAATATCTCTTTGAATTATAGAAATTATTTTTTTTTAATTCTTAAAATTAGGTAATTTAATTTCATAAAATTAAATAATTTTATAAAACGAAATAATATATTTTTATAAAACCATGTGATCTGATTTTACAAAAGAGAATATTTTAATTTTCTGAGATTAAATAATTCAATAAGAAGAAAAGAAACGAAATTATGTATTTTCGATTTTTTTTTGTTCTTAAATTTTAGACACGGAATAAAATTGATTGAGAGCTATTTATTTTAAAGGTAATTGTATTTTTTTTTACACGCACAACTCGAAACTTTAACAACGCCTAAAATGGTCCTTTACGGAAAAGCTTGCTGCGGAACGAAAAATCGTTATTTATAAATAAAAATTTTAATTTAAATAACGATTTTTCATTATTTTTTTGTTATAATTATTATTATCTACACAGGCAAGTGTCGTTTCTGAGTAGACTGGAATTTTTCTATAATATGTAAATTATTTAAAATGATACAATAAATAATAAAATGATAATAATTATTTATTAGCAGTGATAAATAATTGTAATGAAAAAATTATTATTATTGTCGTTAAAACAACTAAACTATTAATATAATTAAATTAAATTTATAATTTTCAATTCATAATTTGTAATTGCTAATTAGAATAGAATTATAAATTCTTGATGTTGCTACGATTTTGTTTTGTGAGCAAAAAATTGCTAGCAATTTTTTTTTGGTACAATTTTTTAAATTATATAATTTGAATTTTAAATTTATAATTATAAGCTATAAATATAATTATGAATTATAAACATAATTTATACAGTTATAAAATTTTTTTTAACTATATGAATTATAATTTACCGTTATAAAGTATAATTTTTAACTATAAATAAATTTTAAACTACTCTCTGAGTCTGAATTAGTAAAAAGTCGTCTACTAATTCAATTTGGAGAAAATTTTAAATAATTTTTAGTCTAAAAATATTTCAGTTATAGTAGTTAAAAACTTTTTTTCAAAAACTTTTGGGAAAAATAATTAAAATTAGTAGAATTTTTTACCAATTTAAATTAGTATAAATTTTTACTAACTTAAGTTATTAGGAATTTTTTTACTAATTTCTATTAGTAGAAATTTTTACTAAATTCGAATAGAAATTTTTTTTTAATAATTTCTATTAGTTAAAATTTTTACTAAATTCGAATAGTAGAATTTTTCTATTAATTTCTAGTAATAGAAATTTTTGATAATTAGGTACTAATTGTTGAAATTTTTACTTATTCAGATTTAAAGAGCATTATTCCTAAATTGGAAATTATGAATTTCAATTTATAAGCTATAAATTAGAAATTATTAAAAAATAAGTATTAGTAATAAGTATAAAAGTAGTAAGTAATAATAATAATAATATATTGAAATGTATATAATAATATTAAAATTGCACTGTAATTTTTAAATTGTTTTAAGTTGAAAATTGAAATTTAAACTCATTCTTTAAATAATAATTCGAAAGTAAAAAATTCATATCATCAAAAACGACACCGCATTTCACTAGGAGAAAATGGACATTCTCCATATTAATTTTATTAATATTTTTCTTTTTTCGTATTCCCCTTCCGAGTTTTTATTTATTTATTTATTTATTTTTTTTTTGAGCACATTCACTCTCACTTTTTGTCTGCCCATTTTACCAATTTCTCTTCTTCTTTTTCTTGCTCATACAAATTTCTGAGCCTTGAATTTTAGCGTGTTTTTGTATTTAATATATATAGCTATACATGTATAAGTGTGTTTGATATATATATGTAATCTGCACAAACCATAAAGTTTATCATTTGTTGTCACGTATGTATGTGTATATGTTTTATTTGTGTGTGTGTGTGTTTGTGTGTGAGTGGAGAGCTTACAGTTTTCACGATGAAAATGGTCATCCGTGTCACGAGATGAGGTCCTCAGTGAAGGAGGATATTAACATTGCCGTCGTGGAACGTTGGAGAATACCGCTTATCAGCAATGTCAACCCCAAGAATAAGGTTGACGGCCTCGATGTCAATGTTGCTTCACTAGCTAGTGGCAATTTTACCTCGACCTCTGCCATTTTGAAAATTGAGAGTAGAGGGTGCGTATGGACCTCTTGATGTTTGTTGTTAATCTTATCGCTGAGATCCTGTAACATCGACGCACACTCCTCCTGTGCGAAGAAGAAAAATGAAGAAAAATTTCATTATTATAATGGAAAAAATGAAAAGATTGCTTATTATTAAGAATTTAGTATTATTAACACTTTTGATACGTTTTTTGTATTAGTTTATACTGCGTATATTAAATATAGTATTTAATTACAATTTTTTTAAATTTGGTGCGAAAGTTAAAGAATACAACGATTTAAAGTTTCAATTATGCTCTCATTTAAATATTGTCTGACCCAATAATGACCTGAACTACTGAAAATTAAACTTTTTTTATAATCAAACCAACGTTAGAGACAAATTCTTTCAAATTTAACGAAATTAAAAAAAAAGAATTGCGATTTATGATTAAAATAATACATTTAATTAATAATTGTCTGACCTAATATTGACCTAAACTACTGAAAACTAAATTTTTTATAATTAAACAATGTTAGAGACAAATTCTTTCTTTAGCAAAAGTAAAAAAATACGATTTAAGGATAAAATAATACATTTAAATAATGTTTGTCTGATGTAATATTGACCAAAACTACTAAGAATTGAGCATTTTATTATGAAATAAAATTATTTCTTTGTTATTTTGGTTGAAATTTTAATAATATTATCATATAATGTTTAAATTTTGCTTTTGTTTAAGTACTGTCCAACCCAACATTGACCAAAACTACTAAAATTTAATGAACAAAAAGTTTTGAACGTTCAAATGAACGAAATATTTTTTGTTAAAAATATTTTCATAGATTATTGATTACAATTCAAATTAAAAACTCAAATTTTATATTTAGAAACATTATAATTAATTTGCTTAATAGTGACGCAAAATTATAGTAATAAAAATTTAATTTGAAGAAGAAATAAATAAATTTCGTTCATTTGAACTCTCAAAACTTTAACCTCCTAAAATTTAAACTTCTTATTATCAAAAAAAATTTTTACAACTTCTTTCAAAATTATCAAAAATATAAAAATTGTTGCGGTATGAGAATGAAAATATATACTTTGAATTAAAGAATGTCTAACATAATATTGACCATTACTACTGAAAATTGAACTTTTAATAATTGTTATAAAAAATTAGTTATAAAATTCCTGAACTAAAGTAAAAAAAATTATAACGATTTGAAGATTTAATTAACATTGATTTAAAGTATGTCTGACCTTAAATTGACTAAAACTACTGAAAAATAAACATTTCATTATAAAATAAAATTAATTTCAAGTTTCTTTAAGTTAAGCTAAATTATAAAAAATAAAATTCGAAAACAAAATTATACTTTTAGTTAAAGATATTCTGACATAATATTGACAAAAACTACTGAAAACTCAACTTTTTATTATGATATAAAAATAATTACTTGCTTTTAAACTTTGGTTAAAATATAAATAACATTAGGATTTAAGATTAAAATTATATGATATCGTTATGCCCCAACGAATATTGACCAAAACTACTGAAAATTAAGATTTAATTTCAACTGTAGTTATTTACAATTTCTTTAACCTTTCGCAAAAATGTACAAAATATTGCAGTTTAAGAATTAAATTACAGTTTTTATTAAAGATTGTCTGACGTATTAACCAAAAATATTAAAAACTCACCCTTTTATAGGAAATCAATATTAATTACTTGTTTTTCAATTTTTGTTAAAAATAAATAATATTATAATGTAAAACTTAAATAAATCTTTCATTTAAGTAGTGTCTGACCTTAAATTGACCAGAACTACTGAAAACTAGTCTTTTCATTATAAAATAAAATTAAATGATTCTTCTCCAACTTTAGTTAAAATATATAAATATTACGATTTAAAATTAAAATTCTACGCTTTTACTTAAGTAATGTCCGACTCAATATTGACTGAAACTACTGAAAACTAAATTTTCAATATTTATAAAATAAAATTAATTACCACCTCTTTCAATTTTAACAAAAATATAAAAATAATTTCAATTAAAGAATAAAATTATACTTTTAATTAAAGTTTGTCTGACGTAATATTGACCAAGACTACTGAAAAATAAAAATTCTATTCTGAAATAAAATTAAATGTTTTTTTTAAACTTTGGTTAAAATATAAATAACACTATGCTTTAAAATTAAAAATATACGCTTTTATTTATTTAGTGTTCGATCCTAGTATTGACAAAAACTACTGAAAATTAAACGTTTTATTACCAAATAAAGTTATTTAAAATTTATTTCAACTGAAATAAGAATATATAAAAACCGTCCTACAATTTAAAGATAAAATTATACTTTTAATTAGAAATTGTCTGACTTAATATTGACCAAAACTACTGAAAACTTAACCACTCATAGAAAACAATATTAATTACTTTTTTTTAATTATGGTTAAAATATAAATAATATTATGATTTAAAAAATAAACTATGCTTTCATTTAAGTTGTGTCCGACCCAACATTGACCAAAACTACTGAAAGTTAAACTTTTTATTATTATATAAAATTAATTACAATATTTTTTATCTTTATAGCTAAAGTTTAAAAAATATTAGAACTGGAAGATATAATTATAGTTTGAATTAGTATTTGTCCGACTCAGTATTGGTCAGAACTACTGAAAATAAAAAAGTGGTAGTAATAATAATATTCGAATGTACTTCAAACAGGACAATTTTGATCGTAAGAAATATATATATATATATACTTTTTTGATTTTATAAATTAAAGTCAAGAAATTTATTCTATATATATCATCTGAATTTCATAATTCTAATCTTATTGAAGTTGACGGGAGCACGAGCATCGATTTCCATTTTTTTTCCATCTCCTCGCGTCTTGTTCACTTTTCTCAAACTCTCTCTCTCTCTCTCACTCTTACTTTTTCTTTTTTTTTCTCTCTCTCTCTCTCTCTTCATCCAAATTACCCTCAGCTCGTTGAATCTTTAATTTCCGGTGACGAAGAAGCGACAGGCGACGGGGCTTGATTTTGGCCATATTTTTGAAGTGAAACAAAAATAGAAGAAAAAGGAGGGAGGGTACAAAAAAAAGGAAGAAGTGTTAAAAAGTTGATACGTTCGTGACGTTCAGAATGGGATAACGATTTCACGATGGAAAACTTTTTCCAAGTTGTTTCGTTTTAATCTAGTAAAGGAATTTTACTCTATTTTTCACGATAGTGTCATAATTTTTTTTTTATTTATATCTATACTTTACTCTCTAAATTTGAATTAATTAAAAATTAATTATCATATTAATGTAACAAATTTTAAGTTTATAATTAAAATTATAAATCAATTAAAATCATCAAGTACATTAAATAAGTAATTAACATTCACGAGCTAATTATTTATTTTCAATTTTGCGTATTTTTTAAAAAATTAATATTAATTAATTTAAATGAAATCAATTAATTAGCATTTCTGAACGCACCAATTGTTGAAGGGGAAAAAATTTGCATTAATTTCAAATTGAGAAGGAATTTTTTTTTTTTTTTTTTAGGGTGTGTATCATTAAAGAGGTGAAATGAAGAATTGAGAGAGAGAAAAAAATAGAGAGAAGGGAACGAATCAGAAATTGGGAGAGGAAGGAAAGGAAGGAGGGATGAGGGGGGGGGGAAAGAGGGTGATGAAATTTGCCGGAAAATATTTTGACAGTAATTATCAGTCGCCTGGTTGCAGAGAAATGCGCTCTGTCCATGTTTTTAGGGTAATTGAATCGAACGTCGTTGGTAATAATAACCTACACTGTTCCCGCAAAAGCCCAGGGCGATAATTCATTTTACATATCGCCCTCACTAATTGTAGCTAGCTTGGAGTTTCTCTAGCGCTGTAGGTAATTACGTTTACCCTTTCTCCTTCGTACTTTTACCCCCTTCCCCCCTCTTACCGCTTCCAAATATAGTGTACACACAACTTGCATCATCACCATTAACCAATGGAAACAATTAATAATTAATTTAAAATTCATTTCTTTTTTTTTACAATATATAATTCAACTTTATAAATTAGAATTTAAATTTTATTTCTATATAAAAAATTTTTACAATATTTTAAATTAAATTCTACACAAAATCACTATTTTTCTAAATTTATTCATGGAAGTCAGGAAAAAGTCAGGAAATTTTGTCAGGGAATTCTTTAGCATTGAAAAGATTTTATTTATTTTAAACTCTTTCTATTTTTAAGAATAATTGAACTTTACAGATGTGAAATTGAATTTTTTGAATAATTTAATTTTTGAATAACTATCGAGGAAAAAATATTTTTTATGAATTATTTTAGAATAATTTTTTATTTAAAAATTCAAAAAATAATTAAATTTTATGAAATTTGTGTTTTCAATTTTTTTTATAAATAAATATAAATAAGTAGCAAATGTCACGTTCGCCAAACGAAGTATTTAATTTATTATTATTATTATGTTAATTATGTAAATTACAAATTTTTTATTTTCAAATTTATTTGTGAATAATTTCGGATTTAAAATAAAAAAAAATTTAACTTAAATTTTCTTCTAAAATATTCAATTTTTTTTAAATTTGATAAAATTTTTTGCATGAGATTCAATATTATTTCTAATTTTAATATAGTTTCAATAATTTCTCTCGAAAGAATTCAATAATTTTTTTTCGAATTTTTAAAATAGAAAAAAATTTCACATATTAACGTAAAATTGTGTGTGAAGTAAATTATAATTTCTAAATTTTTTTGCAATAATATTATATAATATATCAAAAAATTTAATCTCTAAATTTAAATTTGTAAAAATTATTTTTTTAATCCTACATAAAACAAGGCATTAAAATAAATAAAATTATGATTTTCTTAGAAAATAAATTGTAAAAAATTTTAATTAAAAATTCTGAAGAAGTTAGTTGTTTGAAAAAATTTTTTTCAACTTTTTTTTTTAAATTAGTTGTATTTTTAAATATATATTTTATTAGAAAATTTTTAAATTATAGTAATTTCATGGAACAAAATTGTTATCAAGTGAATTTTAGAAATAGTTTGGGTGAAATTTTTTTATATATAAATA